ATTTCTTCATAGTCCATTAGTTCTTCATCCAAAGATTTAAGAAATAAATCATTTATTTAATTTTAAAAACAATGTTTAAACCTGCTATCTTTAAGAGTTAGTCTAAAAAAATTGGCTCGAGAGAAATTAGATAAAAATAACAATTTTCCCTAAAACGCCCCAAAAAAAAAAAAAAATAGGGGGAACAGAAAGTAAACTTACCCTGTTTATACAAACTCATAGACAGATCGTTTGGTTTTTCATAATTTTCCCCACATTTTTCATTTCAACTTGAAAACAGATTTTCAAACTCCCACTTCTGAATACGAAACATTTACGTTTTGCTCTCTTTTTTATATTTGTGTTGAGCACGAGATACGGCTCTATTATGTAGTTTTGTTATCCAAGGGAGGTTTAGGCCGCAGAATAACGGTTGTTGTGTTTTTTTTTTGGGGGGGGGCGGTATTATATCTATGAGGTCCCGTTAAAAAAGCCCAATTGTAAATATGAGGAGTTCGAAAGAACCAGGATTTCTTACTGTAACGAGTCATTCTAACCTTTGTGGCCCCCGAGGACTTTTTACTTTCTGCCTTTAATCGTTGAATCTCTTGGTCTTCTCTAGCGTTCGATCTCACTGATGATTAGGAACATATGATCATTTCTGATCGACGTCATATTGCCGTGGGACCGAATCTTAAACATTTAATTGGATTGGCGCTGGCACGAAGGGCGGACGGACTGGCAGTTTAGGGGTGTCAAATGTAGAGATAGGACAGGTTGCGTTTATTATTTCCATATCTATTTTTCTCTTTATTTATTTGTATATCCCCACATCCAGAGTTTCTTTCATTTCCTCATCAGAGGATATTATGAGATATTTCGCCGGTATTAAAACATGGATGGAATTTAGGGTTCTGTGTGGGTATGTACTATCACGTCCTATATGAATCACTGATTGCAAAAAAGGGGACATGTCCCAAAAATTACATTTTACAAGGGAAGCAAAAAACTGTTTTAATGAGGTATTTTCTGTTCTAAAATTTTGAATAAATTAGAGGACCTCAATTAGCTATTCTACAAATGTATTTTGAGGTTTTCCTTAAATTCACCAATGCTTGTAAGCAGGGTAGCACTTTTGTGGTGTGGACATATCTCTGTTCTGCTCTCAACACTTTTTTTTTTTTTTGTGGAAAAAGGTTCGTTTTCTGCAAGAAATTGAAGTTACCGCCTCGAAATTATTTAATACAATTAAACATACATTGTAGAAAGAGTTTCAAACGCCATTAAAGCGAAAGCATGAGACCCAAAAGAACAATATTAACTTAATAGTTTGTTTTAACGAGCTGTAGGCCAAGCGTACTCCAAAAATTGTGAACTGAAGTTTGTGGGATGTACAGGCTCTTCAAATCCTTCATTTTTGCAGCATTGGCTGGAATCTTTGACATGTATGACTCTGCAGTTGGTAACGCAATATTATTTTTAATTAGCACAATAGTATTTCCCTTCCTCAGCTGGAAATGGTAGGCTACTAGGCCACCAATGAACTCAGACGATTTAATAATGCCTGGTTCTTGGGATGATTCCTCAAAGTAATGGCATGATGAAATCATACATTTCTTTTGATCTTTTGCAGGTAGTCTTCGTGTTTCGAAGGAGGTAGTTTGTTTGGAGACTCCTTTTTGGACTACAGACCGCTTTTGACTTACAGAATATCAATGGAGGTGGACCTACAGGGCCTGCAGAAAAAAACCTTCAGCGCTCTTTCCTAACCCGTCCGGAGAAAGTCTTTCGTCGCAACATTCGGGGACAAGAGATAGAGATGGTAAAACAAGTACTTAGGGATCACTATAATACTTAGTTTAAATTATAAGCATCAACATACATAAAAATCTAAACCGGCGGAGATATAGTTAAATAACGCGTGGAAAAACCTATCAGAAAAAGAAATAAACTTCTTCAAAAAATGAAAAATCTTTGAGGCAGTTTCAAAAATCACGGTTTGTTACACAGCTCAGGGTTAGGGAAGTAAATCATTCGAGGAGGTCGGAAAGATCAAACGGTTTGCAGTGACATTACTAAGATTTTTTCAATTAATTAATCTTTTATGTATGGTATTGGTTAAGATAAAAAAGTCAGTGTCACAAGCGGGATTCGAACCCACGACCTTCGGCTAAATACGCCGCTGCCCTACTACTTGAGCTATCGTGACTTCGATCCCCTCGGACACCAACTTCCCATCTCAACCCACCTTTTCGAAGTTTCCCTCCTTTTTGTCATTTTTCTCAAGCTAGATCGTCCCAGGGTATCGGCCACAGACCTCGCAAGCGTCATTCATGACAGTTGGCGTCCCCTACTAGTCTTTTTAACTAAAACCTTTGTTCAAGTAAGTGAACGAACCGTTTCCGGAAGAGCTCCCTATGTTTTAGCCGGGATGTAAACGTCCATGTCTATTCACTCGGCTGCCGGGAACTGCTCATGCAAAGTCTTCTCCCGCCACTGTCTTGCCGCCTCACTGCAGTCATCTAGGTGGGCCTTGTAAATGCTTCAGTGTGGACATCTTTCTAATAACAACGGAAATGTGACAAGTTCTGTCTTAGAAGCAAACTTCCCGCATTGCTTACAGGCTACCTCAGCAAGCCAAAAGTTACAGTTGAGATGGAAAGCACGCTATCCGACAGGTGAGAGCACGAAAACGTAATACCACAGTTTTCGTTTGTCGGTAACAAGGTAAGTTTTCTCAATTGCGGTTATCAGTAATGTACATCAGCACACGATGATGATCTACAACGTCGACGACGATGATGCCATGCGGAAAAGACCGGAAGAAGGCCACCATTATCTGGATGGATTCTGTTCTTTATTCTTTCATTATGAATAAATGGGATTCGATTTCTACGTGGGAAAGGCGAAAGTGATTTACTTCTGCAGGCTGAGTAATGAGCACAACCTTCCCCCGCTTAGGCATCTGGAACAGCTCAACAAGTCCAGTCCAAAAGAGTCATCATGTCATCAACCTCCTCAGATACCTATCAAACTTCAAAAGGTGTGCAGAGAAAAATAGGAAGAAGAGCGAGAGAGTGAGAGAGAGAAAGTCAAAGAGAGGGGTGTATTGTTGACACTATTCAAATCGCTGCTCTACCAAGTTCAAAACCAGCCCACTAGAAACCATCTGCAACGAAGCAGTCTCCAGCATATGCGAGCAGATTCGCAAATTAGAACATATCACTTTTCGACCGATATCTAGAGAAAGGTACGCACAACTGAGGTATGAGGCTACTGGGGAGGCCAAGGAAGTCCTCGCTGATGGAGCCGATTCATATTGAGCCCGATGAAAACGGTAAGGATGCACTAGGCTGTGCCCTGGACTCTCCCCTTTAAACTGTACAATGAGATATAGCCAAATATATGAAAAGTGACACACAGCCATGTATTCCGACAGATGAGTCAAAAGCCGAAGAGGGTTGCGATGGTACACTGATAGCAGATCTCAGGGAAACGTCCCCTCCTTTCATATCGAGCGTGTAATCTACAGAACTTAAATGCATCCCTCGCGCTGAGCCATAATACATCAAAACAAGGAAACTACCTTTATACCACGCACGGATTCGCTCAGTGCGACCATAGAAATCATGAGTAAAGCCTTCGTGGATCCGCAAATAAATAAAGTATACGAACAATTAAAAGGGATCAATGCCTAATGGAAGAAAGTTTTGCTAGTCTGGATTCCGGGCAATAAAGGGGTAGATGGAAATAAACAAGTAGTCAAAGCGTCTAAAGAGGCGGCATCAGCACATGGACCACCCCATCTTCCAAGCAGAAATGATAAGTTTATGGGAAAATTGTTAAACACAGACTGCTGCCAAATTACGGCAGATCATGATATTGGTCCCTGGTACATACGGTACTGGTTCCGAGTCGAAAATGGAAAGGTACAAACTAACGAGGTTACGCACAGGTCGTACTACCCTCAAACATGGTCACTTCCAGGCATAATTAATTTTCTCAATTATTTAAATTTTGATCTTGTATTTAAATTTAAGAGATAAAACGTTAGACGTTATTTTAATTTAAATAGCATATATATTCAGGGTGTATCAACTTCTATAGTCTACCCATTTACGATTAGCATTAGCAAGTTAATTTAGGATAGGAATGGTCTCAGAATAGGGTAGGGTTCATGGGGTTGCTTTTATACTTAAATTATATTAAGTGTTGAAGAAAAAATTATACAAAAAACGATTTTTTTTTTAATCGTCGAGTCCATTTTATTTTTAAAATGACTCTCAGCTGTAGCTCTTAGTATTTATTGTTGCAGATTTGACCATTTATTAAAATTTATGTTTTTAATAAATCCTCAAATACGCTAGCTAAAATTAACTTGGGGTTTGTATAAGGCCATATTTGCTCAAATTAATCGTGTCCGCATTAAATGGGTGGACGATGAAAGTTGATACACCCTGTATGTACTATCTATATCAGCCGTAAAATCGAAACTAACGTGTTCACACTTTCAATTATGTAATTACTCTTTTCTTCTAACGTCTTAGTTGAGATAAAAAAGAATAATTAATTGAAATAATTAATATGGCCAATTATGACTGCTACATATAGGGTTGTTAACTCTAATAGAGGTAACATATTGTTTCCCCTCCAAACTTGATATTCACTTTGTAATTTAGACAATCATATATAAAATAATCATAATACAAGAAGATGAGACATTAATACGTATGAACCGTATGACAGCATAAATTGGATTGTATTTGGACATACATCATTGGCTGGCCGAGATCGTAAAGACGTATTTGAACTTCTCTTAGCTTCACCTAGAGGTTTCAGTTCAAATACGAAATATAAATAAACAGTTGGTGGTTATCGTAAATTTTTTTGATATTTTGAACAGAATTGAAATTTTGCAATGTCAGATCATTTATCTTCGAGGGTTAACCGTTAGTTGAACATAAAACTAGAAATGGTCTGACGGATTTGTCAATCGCAGTTAACTATCGAATTAAAAAAACTTAAAATCAAAATAATAATTATTTATTTATAAAATATACATTACAATACAAAAATAGACCGTACATTAGATCACATATCAGCCGGTGAATCGTAATTATTTTCCTTGGAAGAACTGAGCCTGTTGAGGAGGTCCTGTTTGCTGAAGAGCCCTGGCGAGTGCGGCAGGGACCGGGGGCGGCGTAGGGAGATGAGCACCTTCGGCGTGGAATCCCGTCTCGTCGGCGAACCAGGTGAGGGTGATAACTTGACCATCAGGAGCAGTGTAGGTGTAGCTTCCTTGGGCGGTCTGAGCCTCCAGGTCTTTCTGGCCGGGGTTCTTCAGATAACCCTGTTCCTTCGCCGAGATACCGTTTCCGGTCTCGTAGCTAAAAAGAACAACGTTTCACCAAAGAACTTTCGAAATTAGTATTCCGATCTCTCACCTGTAAGAATAAGAGCCGTCGAAGTTGTGCTCGTTGGTGTAGGATACTATTGGGACCTGGTTGAGGTTGGAGTATTGCTGGGGAGGAGCTCTTCTTTGGGCGCAAACGCAGCCCAACAAAACTAGACTCAGGCAGATAACCTGAAAATCGGACAATATCATCAATTTAAAAAAAACGACTACGGGAGAATTATAACATGTCGGGACAATGGTTTTTACTCTTATGTTATAAGAGAAAAGACATGAAAGTCAACACCTAGGGGCTAAGTGGTGAAAGAGGGTTATACATATGTACTTCTTATGTTATGTCACCTGATGACAGTGGCTCGTTTTTTCAAGAGCCGGGCCAAATCGTGTTTTCATTATTAAATCGAAAACAGGCAGCTCTCCTTTCAGGACGACACTAGAATTTTCGTATTCAAGAAACTAAATAGTGGTCATTTCAGTGTAACGTATTTGGACAAAAGTAATGAAACCAAAATTGAAATGGCAATGACTGCACAACTTTCCGCAATACAACAATTCAAACTTTGTTTATTCCGAGCTTTACTTCGCAAAAAATACAAAAACAGTTTATCTGTGTATTATATCTATCTATATACCTATTATATTCTTAAAAAAATTAAAACTATATGCTTATTATTTTGTGGAATCAATAATCTTAAAATCTAATAAATCATTAGATAATAAAGGTTAGTGGATATTTCCAAATAAGTAGAGGACTTTTTTTACGTCATGGTAAAATCGATCAATTTGTGTTGAAAGAAAAAGGCTGGTACTACAATTATACATTTCAATAATTTATGATATTAAAACGGAATAAGAGCAATGTCAGAAATGTATTTCACTATATCTTTTTTTTTTCAAATATTGCTGACAATTTAGACGTAAACTCTGTATACGGTATACCGAAATACAAGAATATATTACTACGTTTTACATAAATATTACAGACCGAAAAAGTTAAATATATATTTTTTTTACTATCCATACAATATTATCAGAAAAACCCAAAAAACATACTTATTAAAAAAAATTACTCTTGTCAAAATTCTATTAACATTGTCTACACTGGACTTTATCCAAGGCTGTTCGTTGAAAAATTTAACAACACTGTGGCAATTCCTGCTTTAAAGTACACATTGCGTAAAAGTGGCACAATTTGATTACGCGCGTCTTATTTGCCGTGTCGGTTTGAACACAATAAAATGGCGCAAGACTTGAAAATCTTGTCGATACTTCAGAAAACGAAAAATCAACAGGAAGATAGTCGGGAATAATATCACTAATATAATTAAATAATATCACTTGCTGTTTTCTCGAAAGACTGATATTAAAAGTTGGAAAATCTGCTCGAAAAGTTGGAAAAATAGTCGATTTTTCGTTTTCCTAAAAAAATTATTACAATCATAAGAAATATTGATACTTCCACAGTACAATCATGCTTCATGCTTTTTAGATATGTTATTACATAATAACATAAAATTGAAAGACTGAAAAAAATTTCAATAATATAATTAGAGCCATGCAAAATGTAACGTTTTAGATTTTTCAAAATCTGAAAATTAAATTTGTAATTGTATTATCTGGCATTTTATGGAAAATTTATGTTATGCTTAATGTAAATGTTATGGCTTTATAACATATCGATAATCAGTGATCTTATTGTCAGCTCCTTATGGGTACAATGCTAGTGTACTAATAACATCACATACAAAATAAAAGTTTTGAATTATGTGTAATAATGTATGCAACTGTTAAACATAAATCCTTTTAAGAATGTTATCTATGATTTTTTTCAAATATAAAGATTTTTTTTAACGAGGGTTAGCAACAGCAGAGGTCATATAAAGCCTCAGGGTGCCGATGTTTTTGAAAAATTTGTAAGTATGTCGGTTTCGAATGAAGGGCCGCTGGATTCGAACCCGGGACCTTTACCTTACAATGATTAGCACCGTGTCAACTTCTAAACCGCTGCGGCCACCGAGCCCAAATATAACGATTATAAGCTGGTAAATACAATACGGCAGAAAGTTAAAAAATTAGTGTTTCATAAAATTGTTAGCTGTTACTAATATAAGTTTTTTAAAAGTGTTGATGCATGCATTTTACTTAAATTGTTAGTTGTTTTAAGTGAAATAAACCCCCGGGTGAGACATCACTGAAAACATGAAGACTATCCTTCTCACATATTTCCTGTCAAAATGAAAATTTTAATAAACACTTTTTTAAACAATCACTCACAGACTTCATCTTCCGATAGTGGTAATCCTTCTTTGGTGATTCGTTGTGTTTGAAAGGATGAGCCGGGGCCTTATATACTAAGTGAAGTTGGGGTGGATCTTCTCTACTCCCACCAAATTCCGCGTGTCATCCTTTCCCACAACGCGTACCCTTTTCAAGATACGTTTTCGGTTCTATTATATGAAAATGTGCTCTGTAGGAATTCTGAAAAGAATGTCACTGCGTTTCTTCACGTGTGCACGTTTGGTGGTGATTTTTCCCATGGCCGGCTATCGAGGGTGAAATTTGTAATTGTATGTTGATCTTTTATAAATATTTACGCGTTTGTTTTACACATTTGAGGCTGTAAAAACGTTCTATTATTCTTTTAAACACATAAACTATTGAAATTTTTGTGAGATTTTAATAGAGATCAGCGGAGTGACGAAATCGTATCTTTCTCCGTGTTCTCGTTATCTCGGTCATATGAGATTAGACAGATCAAAACATCCAGGACAAACAACCAAGGTGATCAGGAAACGACCAAGTTAAAGATTTTTATTAGGTCAATTAAAATTTTGGTCCTTTCAACTGTAAGTACATTTTCAATACTAGAACAAAAGTTATATACCCCAAATTTTCTCACTTGCAATTAAATATATAGAATATTATTCTCTTGTTTTTAGTTAATTTATTATGTAGTATAACTATTGTAAAAGCAATTGTATTTTATTTTATTTTTAGGTGTTCGAAATCATGGCTTTCGCAACGGTTATGAACCGTACGTATTGATATCTTGTAAAATTTTGACGAAAGCAAAGCATTATACAATCGTTAAAAAAGGCAACAAATTTGGAAAATTCACAATTTAATTATTTAGCTTTAACTATTACTTTAAATACATACTTGAACAAACTTAGTGAGTTATTCAGAAAATGAGATAAAAGAATATAAAAAATTCAATATATTCATTAATTATTAAACTATGTAATAATATGTATTTATACCAGGATTGATAAATAGATAAAAGGGAAGAAAAATAAGAATTTAAAAACTGGTTGATTTTTTTATAAATATTAATATTGGCATGTATCGATCACTGTCCCGAATTCATGTTCATTCATAGTTAAAAAAATAAACATTTATTGTGTTGTTTAAGCATTGATGTTTTTAAGAAAATTATTTTTACAAATTTAATCTCATGCTGATTTTTTTTTAACTGTCGTACGCCTATTAAGTTTTCTTTATGTACATAAAAGTTTTTTGTATTATACCAAACTGTGGTAAAACAATTTGAAACCAAGAATGTAAATAAAATTCACACTACGAGTGAAATAATTAATAGTTAAAAACAGAAACTATTTTTTTTTAAACATGATACAATATTCATGATAGTGTTTCCTTTTTATCCGGCCATGTATAGATTAAAGATTTAAACGTTTTACACAAAAATGTGTTTTTCTTTCTTAAAGAAGAGAGAATTTTGTTAAGTATACTCTTTGACATTCACCTTACTATCTAACGTCCAACACAAACAAATTATTACATTATTATAATGACTCTCTACTGTTCATCCTTTATTTTCTGATTGTTTATAATGTCAATAATATTATTAAATGTACGGATCGATACTCTTTCGGTCGGGTCATTGTAATGGTAATTTTGAATGCAATATTTTTACAGGTAATAATAATACTTTTTTAATTAAGGGTTTGTGGTTTAAAAAAAACTATTTGATCGTTTATTTTGGAACCCAATTTCACGATTGTTTTCAATGCAATATCCAGATCCCTGTAATGATGGTAAATTTTAATGGTAATAAGATAAATTAAGATTAATTAACTTCAAAACTTGAATTAATTATCCCATTGTTTGCATTTGAATTTTGTCACAGTTTAATTTTCGCAAACATTTAATTTGATTGCAGATTCATGTAATCAGATATATATACCTCTACCAAGTGTCCAATTTATTACATACATAATCGTTATATAATTTTTGTTGCTGATATTATTGTTCAATATACAAATATACGTCTTACCATTATTTACTACTACTAATTAATCATTTTATCATGGAATAAACCAAAGATAGATTATTATTACACTGTTTTTATATAAATTTTAATGACTCGGATTACTTAGATTTTATCATGTATAAATTACAATTTTAAAAAATAAATAGTGATATATCAAGGACAAAATGTACAAAGACATGAATAAAGAATGATGAGAAATAGCCAGAATCACAAGCCAACTTAAATAAACTATATTTTCCATCATTAAAAACATACCAACGTTTTTCCCTGCAAAATTACAGCTGCTAACCGAAATTTTAAATAATGTCGATTTATAAATTGCTCCTATGATTTTTACAAGTAAGTAGAATAAAATTCACATCAAATAATAACCAATTTTAAAGTTAAAATCAAAGACTTTTTGTTGTCTGTTTTGTTATACATATTTATATATTTATGTGTATATTTACATTTATTTATTTATGCAACATTCGTGTAGCTAGACAAAATAAAAATAAGTCCAAAATTCACACTTAATACAAATAATTAAGGATTTCAGTTGGGATAAAAAAGTCACTGGCACGAGCGGGATTCGAACCGACGATCTTCGGCTTGATACGCCGCTGCTCTACCACTTGAGCTATCGTGACCTCGATCCACTCGGACATCTCGGACAAAAATCTTTTAAAAGTTGGCTCACTGAGTGAGCCCTGTAGGTTTGGTGACCATGTATTGGTGCCCTTTACCGTACAATCTGTTTGTTTTTTCTTGATTCTTATTCTTTTTATTTATTTTCAATAAAAAAAAATTAAAAATCGTAAAACATGGAAAAGCTTAATAAGTTTATTCAAACCAAAAAAAATCTGAATAACATCTAACAATAAAAATAATGAATACATAATAATTTTAAAAATCGTAAAACACAGTTGGAAAAGCGTAATAAGTTCATTTAAACCAAAACAAATCCGTTTGTTTTTTACTTTTTTCCAGATTTTTATCTTATCGTTGCCAAGTGAGATAGACAGAAAGAAAATGAAATTGAGGAAAGGGAGTTTAAAGTGTGAAATCATAACATAAGAAAGTGAATCCCCAAAATATTAATTAAATAATAAATTCCTAATATCTAATAACTAAATAATTGAATTGTGTGTTATACAGAAGCAAAATAATAAAATAAGAGGGAGAAAGACAAGAAAGAAGTGCCGAAAGTTTTACGGAATTGTTTGTTGAGTATCAATGTACTCAGCTCTAAAATAAATGGAGTGGATCGAAGTCACGATAGCTCAAGTGGTAGTGCAGCGACGTATCTGGCCGAAAGTTGTGGGTTCGAATCCCGATTCGAAGCTCGTGACACTGACTTTTTTTATCTCAACTAAAAACCTTAATTAATTGAAAGATATCAATTGGTCAAGCGGACCACGAAAACTAGTGAATTTAAAAAGTTAAAATGAAGTATATCTTCACTAAAGCTCTCCGTTGCCATTTAATTTGTCGCCGAGAATCAAAAATTTCACGACATTTGAAAAATGGCAAAAAGGAGGGAAAATTCAAAAGGTGTGGTTGAGATGGGAAGTTGATGTCCTAGAGGATTGAGGTCACCATAGCTCAAGTGGTAGAGCAGCGGCGTATCAAGCCGAAGATCGTGGGTTCGAATCCCGCTCGTGCCATTGACTTTTTTATCTCAACTGAAAACCTCAATTAATTGTAATATATTAATTGGTCAAGCGGACCACGAAACTAGTGAACAAAATTTATTGCAAAAACACCATTCAAATTGTTTAAAAAATTGCTTACTGATTTGGTTAACTATTATAATTGCATTATATAACATACTGTTTTTTTTATAACATCTTTAGATTTATTCTCAGTTTTTTTATTGGTTTTTTTTTGTTATTTTTCTATATGACTATGACCTATATTCTTATGCAAAAATGAAATTATAAATCTGGCCAAACAATATAAAAGGAGACCAATAATTTCAAGTCACAATATAATCTTCCCCTACATTGTACTTGTTTACCATAGAGAAATTATATATACCACATATTTTTTTACATAATTATCAATCTGATTTGGCTAAGAGATTTTAGATTATAAAATTTTCGAAACTACAATGGATAAAAGCTCCATAAAAACCTATTTCTTTTGTCATTTGATTACATGTTAACAATAATTACATTTTATTTTTTTGTAAGTTACAGAAACACTAAATAAAACTGTTCACTAAATCTGCTGAATCTGTAGACACAATTGGTTTTTAGCATTACTGACGAGCCGAAGGTCGTAGGTTCGAATCCCGCTCGGGACACTATCTTTTTCATTTCAACCAAAAACTTACATTAAAAGATTAATTAATTGAAAGGATTACTATGATTTTGTACGACTAAAAACTGATAGGCACTTTTAAAAAATAAGTAAAACTGTGACATTTTATAAAAGCAACATTGTGTAAAAACAAAAACACAATATTAATTAAACTTGCAGTTTTTATTTTAATTATCTACAATATAATCTATGTTGTTGTGTATTTCCTTTTAGTTTTTCAGCCGTTTATTGTAGTCTGAAGAGGTTTACTAAGATAACATCTTTGATAAACACTGAGTGTTTAAGATTTATATTCTTGGACCCGTTTCGGGCTCTTCTATTGCTCCGTTTCATCAAAATTTTATAATTTTTAACTCTACAAAATAAAATAAAAATTTTAAAAAATTCTTCATTCTACCACTGTTGAGATCAAGCAACCACTTCGACAAGTTAGAAATATTAATGTCAGTTTACACATTGCAAGGCGAAGACTTTCGGAAGCTGGTCACATGCGAGTGCCTGCCACTGGTCCAGAACTTCTGACAATGCACACAACAGCTCGGTTACGTTTCGCAAGAAATCACATCAACTGGTCTGAGTAAGTTCAATCTTGTCTAAAATCTTTTTTTCGGATGTGTCAAGGTTTTGTTTGAGATCTTTTGACGGCCTAGAGACGGTTTGGAGAAGAACGGGAGAGCGATATATCCCCACATTTTCACTCCGAAGAAGCTAACGGAGGAGATGGTGTTATAGTTTGGGCAGGCATCCCTATGGAACGTTGTGCAAACTTGATCTGCAT